ATGCCACAAGTAGTCATGCTTCCCTCATGCTTCTGATAGTCCCTTAACTGAAGAATCCTTGCTCTGACTTTATCCTAGTGGCAGTTCTGTGAAAAACGTGATGAACCTTCTTAAACTGTGAGGAAAAAACAGCCAGCTCTTCCTCCCATAAAACTTCCTCAGTGTATTCTTTCACTGCAGCAAAAGAACAACTAACATACACTGTAAAGCATGTAGTAAAAGAACCTCAAAAAATATTAAAAATCCAAAAGCAGCTCCAGCTAGCAGTGTTTTCAAAGAGACTGAGCTAATGAAATCTAAAGTTGAGGAAAATTCATCTCTTCCATCTGAATGAGGCTAAGGTGCACTGGAATATGCAGGACTTGATGCAGTGGCACGTGCTTTTAATCCCAATATTTCAGAGGCAGAGGCAGGTGGATCTCAGTGAGTTCAAGGACAGCCTGGTCTATAGAGTGAGTTCTAGAATAGCCAGAGCTACATAGTGAGACCTTATCTGAAAGAGAGAGAGAGAAAGAGAGAAAGAGAGAAAGAGAGAGAGAGAGAGAGAGAGAGAGAGAGAGAGAGAGAGAGAGAGAAAGAGAGAGAGAGACAAGCCAACAAACAAACCTATCCACCCCTGCACTTCTGGGGATCCAGTGCTTTCTTTGACCTCCTCAGGTACCGGGAGTGTTACACATACATACAGCAGGCAAAACATTCTTAACATAAAGTTTAATCTTAAAAATAAAATTGAAAAAAATATCAAAATTATTTTATCATTAAATCATATGGATTACCATTCTGGGCCATTGGTGAGTCTGTTTAAAAGATTATTATATATACTGTGGATGTCTGTAAAGGGAATTAATAAATGATTATAGATGGAATATATCACAGAAGAGAAATTCGTTATATTAAGGGCTCACATTAAAGTTGGGACTGACTGACTGAATGAAATGTGTCAAATGGACTTCCTATTTCCTTGATATAGCGCTTGAAAATGCTCATGGGAGCAACATTCAGCACCCTGGGCCAGACCCTTTCCTTGGGTTCCAGATGTAGGGACTCATACATAAATTTAAGATTACAGTTGGTGGTTAAGTAGGAATGAAAAATGTTTTTAAATTGCTTATTTCTAAAGTTCGTCTGCAGTTACATTTATTTCAAATTTGATATAAAAGATTACAGGTTAGGGCGGATGTTGGGATTATGCGACATATATTGAGAGCTGCAAAAGACTTACTGCTCTTCATTTTTTAACCATCGCACATACATACATACCATAATGACAGTTGCAGTCATTACACAGGAACCAGGCCACATAAGGTCATTTCCCCCTTGTCATATAGTGAAGGTTTTCAAAGGGGGTTAGTTATTAAGATATTCATATTTCAGTTTAGGTGGAGATGAAGGAAAAGATCCTTGGGTAGATGATAGAAAAGAATTTCTTGATTTGTACCTAGCAGCTGTTTTTGTTTTGGGACAGGGTTTTACTATGTAACCCTGTCTAGACTGGCAGTCACTCTGTAGACCATCACTGTGCCCAAGTAGTAGGCATTTTTTAAAAATGAAATATAACAGACTTTGGATAGGTGCTGTTTTGTGGGTTTTTTTCTTCAGTTGCTTCTTTCTTTGGTGTGGGAGTTTGTGGAAATGTGCATGTGTGTGAGGAATACTGGATTGGAAACAGTGTTTTTCATGTTGCTTGTGGTCAGTGTTTGAAAGCTATTGCCATAGGTAGACAACTCTGGAGAATGTTTTGTTCTGTTGTAGTCTGAAAAGCAGTGGGCTCTCAGTCCACATCTCTAGTAATCTCACAAAGGAAAAATTCCCTCAAGATAAAATGAAGTACTCCCCTAGACTTAGGAGGCAGGTCTGTGAGTCCATCAGCTGTTGTCAAATATACACCAACATTCTTTCTTCCTGAGCCTCTCTTTGTTGCCTTGTATGTAATGGCTAAATTATATCGTTCAGGGATTAGAGAGATGGCTCCCTGGTTAGGAGCACACGCTGCTCCTACAGAGGACCGGAGCTCAGTTCCCAGCACTGAGCTCCGTGGCTCACAACCCCCTGTAACTCCAGCATCGGTGGTTTCTGTTCCTCTGGTCTCAGAGGCACTTACTTCATGTGTGTCCACACCCTCCAGCCCCACACATGCAATTAATTACAAAGTTAAACTAAATCTTCAAGTTTTCCTTTAAAATTACATAGTTTAAATATATATAGTTTAAAATCATATAGTTTATATTTCCTTTAAAATTATATAGTTTCCCCAAAGAAAATCCTGAGATGTAAGTATCTGGGAAGAATTTGGCTATCACGTTCCTGGTTTTTAAGTGTTCTTTATTAGTTTATACTAACTAATATGTACTATTGGGCTTCATTGTGACATTTTCACACATGTGTATAATGCATTCACTCATTGATCACACTTTCTTGTCCCCAGTTACTTTTTTTTTTTTTTTAATGCTTACTTCTCTCCCTTCCTTCCTCTATTGTCATGGATTTTTCAGATTTTTTTCCCTTCTTCTCATGTTAGTGTTATGACCAACGTCAAACTGCTCAAGGACAGGGAGATTTGTTTTGCTTACAGTTTCAGTGTGTTGTGGAACTGCTGGAGCAGCTCTCATCAGGACAATGGTCAGAGGTCAGAGGTTAGAGGTCAGAGATCAGAGGGAGTAAAATGGAGAATGGGGACAGGGATGAGGTAGAACCTTCAGCTGCATGGCCAACCATCTAAAACATGATGCTGTGGGGTCCAAAGTACATACACACATACACACATACTTACACACACACACACATGCACACATACCTACACACACACACACACACATGCACACGCACATTCATACATACACATACACACACACACACACACACACACATACCAAAACATGTCTTGTCTTCTCATATAGTTTTTGCTTGTTGCCGTTTCTATGAAATCAATATTGTCCCAGCATTGTTGTGTGTGTGTGAGCTTAAAAAAAAAAAAGAAAAAGATAAAAAAAAGAAGAAAAAGACCAAATCAAGTTTTAGCCTATGCCTTTCCAGCAGATACTTGGTCTAATTGCATTTTTCACACCTTCTGGATCTACTCTCAAGAGGACAAGAAATCTTAAGTTTCCTGAGAAGCAAGCTGATTTTTAAGTTTTCAGTTGAAGGAATTTTATGAGTGTTAAAAAAAGAAAGAAAGAAAAATCAGTTCTCTGTGACTCTTCTATCTTTTCCTTTTTCTGGTCCTGACTTGTACACGGATCCTGTGTAAATACAGCAGTGAACAAATGTAATTTATCTTTTTTATCCAGGGGCATTCTGATTTACACGACTGCTTCTTTTGGTCTAACAGGATGGGATGGCATCTCTTGATCCTTTATTATACTGTTTTTCATTGTGTGAGGCACTGAGGGGGAATCTCTGGATTCCTAGTAAATCTGACTGTTATTCCCATGGTTATAGGCCCCGGGAAGGATACATGAGTGTTGACTGCTTATGCAGTGATTTCCTCCCTAGCTATCACAGACTTCCTTCTTGTATTAGGACTTGTTTTCCAGCAGCAGCTTTAAATGATAGGAAGTGGTATATTCCTGGGTGAAAGTTGTGCAAGACAGTTGAAAACTGCCTTCATGATGCTGGGGGCATAGGACCTTTTTATTTTGTTACTTTTCATACTTTATATTTTCATACTTTATATTTTATAGCTTGAGATAGCTACTTTAGTTTCTAATATTAACCAAATTTTGCAGAGCCAAATTTTGGTTCTTCAGGTCTTCAGAGGCAAGCCCGTAACTACACAGGTTAAGTAAAGAGATAGGTTTCTTTACCATTTTTCTTCTTTCCTTCCCCTTCCCCTTTCCCTTCCCCTTTCCCTTCCCCTTTCCCTTCCCCTTTCCCTTCCTCTTCCCCTTCCCCTTCCCCTTCCCCTTCCCCTTCCCCTTCCCCTTCCCCTTTCCCTTTCCCTTTCCTCCAGTGCTCAGTGAAGGGGAGGATCTGGAGGTTCAGTTTCTGAGATCAACTCCAACCTGTAAGTCTTAGCAGGTGAAATAAATGAGGGTTTAGGTGTTAAATAAGTGGGCAGAATATTTATAGCTTCTCCAGGAGGCTTCCACTCTATGAATTCTGTTCCCCACTTCTGCCTGACCTTGTTTGCCAATTTCCAGAGTATCATGGAAATAGAAAGTTGTCATGTGCTCCGGAAATGCATTATAATTCCAGCAGGGCAGTATGAAGGTCAAAGGACAACTGTTTGGAAAGCCAGTGGTCAGCAGAATCAGTCTGAATGGGCCTGTCTCTGCTGGGCAGGAGTCAGTCTGAATGGGCCTGTGTCTGCTGGGTCTGACATCTTGTTTTTCATTATCATCACTGCTGTGTGATGTGAGTCAGGTATCTATAGTGCGTGTATGATGGGTGCACTTGGATAAAGGTGCAGGGAAGAGGGAGACTATCAGGGAATGGAGAACGGAAGTCTTGCCTGATAGGGCAGGGTATCCTCTCATTACAGTGCTGTCAGTATGTTCAGAACTTGGGGAAGAAAGCCAGCAGGGCGTGATGCTGCTGGTAAGGGTACACTCTGGGAATTTGAAATACCCTCTGAAACCATTAAATACATGTCTCACGAAACTTCTATTAGGAAAATAAGATTATGCTTTTATACTGTTTGAGCAACAGAAAAGGATTTACTTTTGGAATATTTTTTTTTCTAACTTTTCCACTGACGTTTCTTACGTAGACAAGCTGAAAAGACATAATTGAATCCATGCCTTTCCCATTTGGGACTCCAAACAGACTTACCTAATAGTTTTAGGCATGGACCTGGAATATGCTAAGAAGCCGGGTTGCTATTCTCCAGCTGTACTTTCCTTTCTTTTATGATGTTGAGGAACAAACCTAAGGCCTTGTGGATGTTAAGCACAGGCCCCACCACTGAGCGGCCAACTCTTAGTTTTCCTGTGTTGCTTTGATAGCTTTGCTTATCCGTTTTCTCTAGGCTAATTTTCTACCTGTTGTCTTTGTACACCTAGGTATGGCACAGTCTCAAGGCTGGTTGAGAAGATGCTTCAAGGCCTTTTGCAAAGGTTTCTTCGTGGCGGTCCCTGTGGCAGTCACTTTCTTGGATCGGGTGGCCTGCGTGGCTCGGGTGGAAGGAGCGTCGATGCAGGTGAGAAGGAGTTCAGTTCTCTCCTGGAAAGTGTGTGCTCCATCCTTTCTCAAGCACCAGACAGGAGAGCCTGCCTTAGTATTTCTGTACTATGACCTGAAAGGTTTCATAAAACCACTGAAACTAAAATTTCACCTCACGAAGTTTCTTTAAAAGGCCTTTGACACACTACTATTATAATCAGAGTGGAGGTGATTAGAAAAAACTATCAAGTAGGTCTCTGGGTCTGTGGACTTTGATGTTTCTGTGAATTATCAATGGAGACTTAAAGACAATTTACTAAATGGCATTATTTTCTGTGACTATGACTATGTTTAAACAGCTCCTTAAGACAAAATTAGCCGGGTGCTGGTGGTGCATGCCTTTAATCCCAGCACTAGAGAGGCAGAGGCAGGTAAATCTTTGTGAGTTCTAGGCCAGCCAAGTCTACAGAGAATGTATCAGGATAGCCTAGGCTACACAAAGAAATCCTGTTTCAAAACAACAACAACAAGAACCCTCTCCCCCAAATAACAAAAACCCACCACCAACAAAAAAGATGAAATTAAAGTACAGTTTCAAGAATTGTTTAGGTAAGATTCAGTTACTCATAAACACATAGTTTTAGTTTGTAGGAAAGTCTATGTAACTGATTCCAGGCATTCTAGTATTCTCTGTAAGTGAGTTGTTGATTAAAATACATTTAAAATATTTTAATTATTATGTGTGTTCAAGCATGCACATGCTATAGTGGATATGTAGAGGTCAGAAGGTAATTTTAGAGAGTACGGGTTCATTTGTGTTCCACGTTGAATTCTTGAGCCAGGCTAGCTCAGCAAGCATTTTTCTCTGCTTAGTCATCTTGTCAAGCCACTTTGATTAAAAGTATTAAATGCAGTTTACAGAAGAACTCTAAAGTGGAGATTTCCAATAATTGTGTACAAATCATTTTGTAGAATAACTTAGAGAAGATCTTATTAAGGAATATTGTTTACAAGCTAACTATGTGAGTAGACTTATGCAGCTAAGCAGCATTGCACTTTGTAACAGGATTTCCTTGGTCGTTATCAGCATGTGCTAAGTTCATCCGTTGTACTGAATAGCTCTGTACAACAAATACATAAAGTGACTATATAGACTTTCTAGAGAGTATGATCATGCAGAGTAATCCAGTTAGTTTTTTTCCTTTTGTTTTTCTTAGAGCTAGTTAAAGCACCAGTTTTAGGGTATTAGGATGGATGTACTTCATCATAATTACGGTGTTGAAAATCAGACTCCTTCCTCAGTGTGAGAGTCAGGGAGGTAAGGAAGATCAGTAAACTGTTAAGTAGTGGCCTCTGGGGGAAGCCAATGGGACAACTAGGTTGGCTTTCATCATTTGAGGCTCCCCTCCTCTTGCTCAGATGATCTTGACCTCAAACCATGCCTACCAGGTTCCTTCCATGGTAGGTCACCAGCTCAGAGTAAACTGGGCTACTGATTTGAATGCAAGTTTTTTTTTAATGCAGGGACACATCAACATATGAAGAATATGGTTTATAGGCATATGCCTTTGTTTATAAATACAGCTTAGCACATTTAAGAAGCCTTGGTCTTTGTTTTTTTTTTTTTCTTTTTTTTATATATCTTCAGTTTCCAGTTCTTAGCAGCCTTGTTTTAGCATTAGTCCTCAGGGGAATAACATTTTAGGTTTGCTTTGTAGAGCTTTTGAGTCAGATTTATCATTTCAGATTAAAGCTGGCTTCCCCACAGCCTACCAAATCCCATTTTGAAGCCCTAGGATCTTTCAGTAACAATCAGATTAATAATGATTTTCTTCAATGTCCTTACTGCTCCTTTGTCACACAACTACCACTATCTATTAGAAGGAATTTTTAAATATAATACAAGACCACCTTACTTTGGATCTAATGATATTTTAGGAGATTATGTGGGAATCACAGTATCCTAATCTTCATACTTTCAGCTCAATACATTCCTACTGAGAACATACAGTCATGGCATGTGGGGAGAGTGAAACACATTCATTAAAATATATGAAGAATGGTTCTTGCTCACAAGACATTGATTGTTTTATGGAAGAAAACAGTTTATCCCTAGTGAGAAATGCAAGGGAGAAAGTGTTAAGTCATGTCACTCCCTACCGTTAGTAGGCGTGCATTAGACGTACTTGAATCTGCAGATGCGTTAATAATTCTTGTGTTCTTCCTAGTTCTACTCCTAACAAGCCAAATTTATTACCTTGGAATTTGTCTGGTTCACAGAGTGTCAGATCTCTTGGTTACAGGTTATAGGAAAATAGCTTGAATTTACCTAGGTCTGCAAATTCATTGGCGGGTTTAGTATGCAGCATGAGAGGAGCCCCACACAGCAGCTGCCAGAGACCTGGGACCGGTGGCAAGTAGAGCCATGTGCTCAGCCTTCTCTCTGATGCCATGTTCTGTTTCTGTCTACATCTTTGCTTAGTTCTTTCACATTGGCTTTTCTGCCATCCAGAGCAGGACATGACAGGTGCTGTTCACTCTCATGCTTTAAAATGCCCAGCTCTGTCACCACCTGAGAAACACCACTGTTGCTTGTAATTTAAGCTAGAAATAGATGAGGGTAAGGGAAGTTTGTGATTGACTCATGGTCTACCAAATGTTCTTAAGACTATCTATCTATCTATCTATCTATCTGTCTATCTATCTTTCAATTTTGGCCATCAGGGTGAGTATTATAATTGATCTAGCTTTGGATAATTTCATAGTATTTACATGTAGTTAGATTGAGTGATCTTTAAGAGAATGAGCACTTCTATTTTTTTTGACAAATTCTCTGTAGCCCTGGCTATGAATTCTGGAAGTCACTATGTAGATCAGGCCCACCTCTGTCTCCCAGGTGCTAGAATTAAAGATATGGATGACCACAACTGGCCAGAGCATCCTTTTAGGTCACAATATTCTGTGACAGTTTAGAGTGATGTACAGGTTACATTTCCTAGTGGAATGGACCCTCTTATAGATCACTCAAAGGACAGCACATGCTGGTGAGGTTGTATAGCAAGGGTAATATTTCTCCATTACTGGTGGGAGTGAGAACTTGTACAACCACTCTGGAAATCAGTTTAGTGGTTTCTCAGAACATTGGAAATATTTTTACCTCAAGACCTAGCTATAGCACTCCTGGGCATATACGCAAAAGATGCTCCACCATCCCACAGAGATACTTGCTCAACTATGTTCATAGCAGTTTTATTTGTAAGAGCCAGAAACTGCAAGTAAACTAGATGTCCCTCAACTAAAGAATGGATAAAGAAAATATGGTTCATTCATGTATTGGAATACTACTCAGATATTAATAAGAAGGACATCATGAATTTTACAGACAAATAAATGGAACTAAAAAAAAAATATCATCCTGGGTGAAGTAACCTGACCCAAAAAGACATGCCTTCTGTATACTCACTTATAAGTGGATATTGGTCATAAAATACAGTATAATCATGCTATAATCAACAGACCCAAAGAAGCTAAGTAACAAGGAGGGCCCAAGGGAGGATGCTTAAATCTTTCTCCAAAGGGAAACAAAATAGAGGTCAATGGAAGGAGGTAACTGAGAGGAAGAAGGGCTGGGCAGGCAAGCAGGGCTGGGGAAAGATCCTATGTAGGGAGAGCAGGGGAGAAAGAAGGGAGATCAGTGGTGGAGAGAACAATCTCTAGGATTCACTAGAGACCTGGGATGGTGGGAAGCCCCAGAGGGTCTAGGTGGGTGACTCTAGCTGAGATTCTTAGCAGTGGATATATGGTTCCTGCGTTGGCCACCCCCTGTAGCCAGACAGGACTTCCAGTGTAGGGATAAGGACAGCAACTCATCCACCAAACCTTCAACCCAAAATATTTCCTTCCTACAAGATGTGCAGGGACAAAGATAGAACAGAGACTGAAGGAGTGGGCAACCAATGACTGCCCCAAATTGAGAACCATCCCATGGGTAAGAACCAATCCCCAACACTATTAATGATACTATGTTATGCTTGCAGACAGGAATCTAGCATAACTGTCTTCTGAGAGGCTCCATCCAGAAGCCAATGGAAAGAGATACAGAGACTTACATGCAACAATCGATGGAACATGGGGAGTCCTATGGAAAAGTTAGGAGAAGGGTTAAGGGACTTGAAGAGGACAGGGACTGTAGAGGAAGTCCAACAGAATTAACTAACCTGGACCACTGGGGGCTCCTAGAGACTGAATCACTCATCAATGGGAGAGGATTGTCTGGACCTAGGCCCCTGCACATATGTAGCAGATGAGCAGCTTGGTTGTAGGACCCCCAACAACTGGAACAGGTGCTGTCTCTGAGCCTATTGCCTGCCTTCTGGTGAATCTTGTGCCCCTAAATGGAGTGCCTTGTCTGGCCTAATTGGGAGAAGATGTGTCTAGTCCCACAGGGATTTGATGTACATGGAGTTGGGGTTGGAGATAAGTGTATGGGAGGGGTGGGGGAGTTGGGGAGTGGAAGATGGGGGCCTGGGGTTGGTGTTTCCAAAAGAGAAGGGAAAGGTTTAATGGAGGGGATTTGTATGAGGGGGTACTGGGAGGAGAGAAAGGGTTGATATTGAGTGGAAAAGTGAATACATAAATAACTTAAAAAAAAAAAAAAGAGTTGACATGGTCATGGTGTCTCTTCTCAGCAGTAGAAGCCCTAAGACAGGTAGGTACTTTGTTGGTTTGTTTTTAAAAGGGTTTATTAATTAATCTCCAAGTCTCATTATTTTAATTTCTTCTCTCAAAAACTTTAAGTATGATTTAGTGATATCTAATGACATATATAAAGTAGGATAATTATAACATTTAATCACTTCTGTATTTTCAGATCTATGATTAATTTTGTCTCCGGAAATATCTTTGGATATAGACAATATTGAAAGGCACTGGTAATGGTATTGGAATACAGTCATTTGTCAAATAGCTTTTAAGTATAGAGGACCGTGATAGATACAATGTGAGAGAATGAATCAGACACAGATTCTGCCTCTGTGA